CCTCTCAGCTGTGTGTCAAATCCAGTTCCCACATTCTGAAAACTCAAATGAATTTTTCTGGTGACAATAAGACCCGTGCTTTTCTTCTGAGTGATTTCTCACTGTATTCTGCTTTCTCTGTCCATTGTGAGGCAACATTCATGCTTTTTAGAATTCCAGTCTTCTTCTTCAGTCCCCAGGTGCTGGGCATCTCCTTTCCCAACATCTGACATAGTAGGTGTGGCATTTTCTTTTTTTTCCCGAGAGGCAGCCTGAGCTTCTCCAGTTTTCTTTCAAGAAGAGCAACACACCATGCCCTGCCCCATAGCTAAATGTGCTGGAGGGCCCCCTTGAGCTTAATGCCTTGGCCCCTGTGATCAGAGCAGGTATGAATACATGCAGTGTAAACGTTATTTACAGGGAACAAACATCTTCACATTTCTCCCTCCTTAGATGGATAGCAGTGAGACACACACACATTTCATTAAGCAGAAATGATCATCTGTTTTCCTAAGCAGCAATCTTCATTCTCGCTTCATAATCGGCCTTTAAGTGAACTAAGAGTGTTTTAATTAAAGGATGCAAACAAATGGTCTGACTTTGAGAGATGCTGAGCACCTGGTATTGCAAACTGCAGATGGTTTGTCCCTATTCTCCTGACCTGCTCCTCTGACCCTCGTTAAGGCCACACCACAGCACATGATGGCTGTGCAGAGTCAACTCTCACCTCTCTAGACATCATACTGTAAATAATAACATCATAACCCCTGTCATCCAAATGAAGCTAACTTGGCATCTGCATGGCACATTTATCCCAAATGTGTAGATATTTATGGTAACGTAGAAAAGGCAAGAACTGTGAGGGATCAGGCTCTAGGTCATCCTGGGACTTGGCAACAGCTACAAAAGATGGCTCTGATGCAAAACGCTGTTCCACCAGCTCCTTTTCATCTTTCCTGTCCACAAAGCCATTGAGACCCCTCACACTGCTCTGAGGGGGGTTTGTCCTAGGGCTGAGGCTGCCCCAAATCTCTGTGTCACACTGATTCAGTCCCCCTTCACCCCAACATGAGCTAGTGAAGATATGCACAACAGACAGATATGCTCCGAAAGGAAAGCAAAAGTGTAGAGGGATTTAAAAGCAGGGGGAAATGGTCAGCTAGATCTCTTCTAAGAGCACAGCAGTAAAAATAAAAAAAGGATGTGCATCCCCTGCAGTGCTGAGTTATGGCCCTAATAAATGCCACTGCCAAGGAGGAGCTTCTTGCACAAGGCAGTGTGGCCCCAGAGACTAAACAGCCACTTTTATACTTGCCTTTCATAAACCCAGCGGGAGGAAATTTTTCTGACAGCAGTATCTGCCACATTAATTTCTTACATCAGTTCAAGCTGTTTTATCTTCTGTTTGGTGTCTTTGGTTATATCCACACAAACGTGTTCAGGGCCTCTTCTCCACTCCCCAGAAAGCAATTGCTTCCAGGGTAGATCTGATGGAGAGCATAGTGGTGTCACAACTGTAAAAACCTCACTAAAACTTTCCTTTGTCCCTCTGTCACAGTTGGTATCAGCGGAGGTAAGGAGGTAATATGAGAGGCAAGGAGGAAGGACAGGAGGGAAAAACTCCAGCACCCCAATCTGATTAACTTCCAGAGCTGCAGTTACAACCCAAGAAGAGAGGAAAGGTGTCTGCAAGCAAACTTCAGCAACCTGATCCACATCAGTGCATGCGAAAGGATGAAGAAGCAGCAGACAACCAAAGCTTCTTAACATTCTTGGAAAGAAACATCCCAGGAAAGAAAAGAGCCTGCAAAGGGATGCCATACAGGAAATACAAATTATCCACCTGATTTATTGCACAAGGGGAATTTAAATGCGATGGAAACCCCCGAAAGTTTCAGATGTATCAAGTCTACACAGTCAAGAAGGGAGGAGAGTTTACAAATGATGGTGGCTTAAAAAGAAGCTCTAGTCCTTCTTTCACTACATAACCATGTGAGGCAGAGTTTGAGAAAGAAGAAAGCAACCTGGACTTTACAGCTGGATACTGCAATTTCAATCAAGGTGTTAAACTGAGGGTTTCCTGCCCTGCTCTTCTCCAATACCAGCTTTACACACCAGCCACCATATAATTTTTAAATTTTCTTTTTATTTACTATTCAAACAATCCACTATTACCACTTTAGTGTCATTGTGTCTTAGAGCCTGAGTCCAGGATAAAGACTTTAATGCAGAAGATGTCATGCAAATTCAGGGCAAAAAGACTGTCTCAAAAAATTGAGATTTAAGTACATAGGATGTGTGGACATTCTTTCCTAAATAACCCTGAATGCAGCCATTTCCAGTTCAATTATCCATTTCCATATTTTTTTATTTTTAATTCATGCAGGGGATTAAATAACTTTATCTGAACTAACCCAAAGATCACTTAAGCTAAGTAAAACTTTCCCACCACTTCTTGACTTTCAGTTTGACACATTTTTTTGGAAAGAAGTTTAAAATAATCAAGAAATACTTTTCCATAAGCACCATGTCTATGTGTGCTGTAGAATGCCTTGCTGGAGTGATGGAGCAGATACCAAAAGCAGAAATGTATTCAAAAACCACCTGTAGACACTCTTTAAGAAAAGGTCCTTCAAGGTGGTTAGATACAAAGGCATAGGAAGTATTTCAAACCTGAATTGCCTAAGCCTCAGCCAGATGAGAGGATGTTCCAGGACAAGGATCTCCCTGTATTTGCCCAGGTCTCGTACTCTTTTCCTAAGCAGCCACTGGCAGCCCTCCTCAGGGAGAAAACAACAGACTCAGAAAGAGTTTCTGCCTGCCCCAGCATGACCATTCCTGTGTAAAAGACAATGACAAAAAAAAAGGCTCAGAAAAATAAGCTTTAAATTGCTACCTGATATGATCAGAACAGAAAAGCCCCTTGCTACCATCAAATCTATTTCTGTGAGGCACAGCAGCTGAACAAGATGTCACTACATTGAGCAGGACACAATCTGAGGATGAGGCACAGTTTGAAACCAAACCAGCACACAAAATGACAATGAGCAAACTCTCAGCAAACACCACAGGAAGCAAGAGGTCCTAAGGAGATATTTGAAGGAGATGGAGAGACTACTTGCTCTCACTGTGACATCCAATGCCCTTGCATACTGTTTTGGGAATTAACAGAGAGTTTCTGCCACCATCAATGTCATCAGGCAGTTTTCCCTAGGAGAAATGTATTTTAAAGGTTTACAGACACAGCAAAAAAATAATACACTAAATTGTCAGTTCCAGAGAGGCACTTTCACATCCCTGCTGGACTGAGTGTAATGGCATCAATCTAACACCAGATGCAGACTACAGTGCAGAGATTAATCATAAACAGTTGACTCTCACTGGTCAGGACCAATGGACAGAGCAGGAATGTTTTGCTATTATTTCTGCCATTTCTAAGGCCACTTGTGATATAATACATTAATTCAAACAGTAGCCATTGATGCATGCAGCTGAGAGAGGAGATTGTAGCCACTAGTGCCAAAACCTGCAAAAGGAAAAAAGGTGTTCAGGTCATACAAAACTGGAACTTTTAAAGCCCGTGCATGGCATAGTTTATCCCAAATGTGTAGATACTCACGGTAAAGTAGAGAAGGCAAGAACTGAGAATTCTACCCGCAGAACTGAGGCAAGAACTGAGAATTCTACCTGCAGAAGACAGATCCTAAGCAGCAAGTTCAGCACCTGGCAGGCACCAAATGACCCGGGGAAACTGCATATAATTAGACAGAAGAAGTTACAATGTGGCTGTGTGATGGAGGTAGTTTACAGAACTTCTGTCTTTTGCTTTCCTTAACAAACAACACTAGAAATTTCCTTCTAGTACTTTCAACTCTTTTAAGCAATGGGATGTAGGGGCTGGTTTCACTGAAACTCATTTTGGGTTTGCTTCAGAAACAAAAACTCCTATGAACAGAGGTCCAAGCAAACAATAAACATCCTGAGCTAAAGGAAAGGGCACTGAGTGGCACTCTGGATTACTTGGTACCAGGGTAAAACGTGCACCATGGAAGGGAACCGCGAGCAGCATGCAAAGGGGAGCTCAAAGCAGTGCCTGCCAACAGGTTGTGTGTGTGGCACTCAGCCCTCCCCGATGGTGGGCTGGAAACAGCCACGGAGAGGAGCTGAGTCCGAGTCCCAGCTCTGGAAGCAGAGGGGGACAGAAGGCAGCGAGTGGGTGTGCGAGCGCCGGTGGTGCTGAAGGGCTGGGGCTCAGGTCACAGCTGCCAGGCGCGTCTGCGCCCCCCGGCAAGCCATCACCCACTCCAGGTCTGCTGGGCCAAGCACACAGCTCTGACAGCTGCGCTGTTCTCTGCAGAACCACTGAGCACACGCTCGTCCACCTCTGCACCACTTCACACGCACCCTGGCACCCCTTCCTCACAGCCCGGCCGTAACATCCCGGAGCGGATGAACAGCCTCACCCACAAACCCGCACTTGCGAAGATCCCAAATCCCACACAAGCCGGGCGCTTGAAACAGACCTCCCCTTCATCCCCGCTCCAGGCAGCACCCTTTCCACCCAATTTAGGATAAACCAGGGCGCCCCCACTCCATGTGGCCCCTCCCAGCCCTGGAGCCGCGGTGGTGGCACAAGCGCGGGGTCCGCGCTCAGCATCGCACCGGGGATGCAGGGGGGCGCATCCCGGGAACACGCCGGGCATCCCGCCGGGCATCCCGCCGAGCATCCTGCCAGGCATCACACCGGGCATCATCCCGCGGGCTATCACCACACCGGGTATCCCGCCGGCTCGGCCCCGGCCGTGCCCGCCCCGCGGCTTCCGCAGGTTGCGATCAGCGCGGAGCCGCCGCGGCCGCAGCGCCGGGCACGGAGCGCTCGGGGCGGCGCCGGAGCTTTCCCCGCCGGCCGCCGCTTCCCCGCCCCTCCCCGCCTTCCCTCGTTTCATTTTTGGCGGGGGCAGCGCCGGCTGCGGAGGGAAAGGCTTCGCTCTCCGCGCTCCCGATGCGTATGGAGGAATCCTCGTGAAAACAGCGCTCGATGTTTCCCACCCCCCCAAAAAAAAATCCAAACCCAAACCAACCACCTACCTGGATAATTAAAACGGTAAATCTAGCTAACTTTTCATTATCTTGCTTGCTGTGTGCTTATGTATGTAGATATTTGTTATTTATCTGGCTTCATTTTGTCATCCTTTGGCCTTTGTTAATTATCTGATCTTGTGCTGCCGGAGAACTTGAAATATTGGGGTTCAGAACAGAGGACGACTGTTCTGCTTTTTCCTAAAGTTGGACTGAGGAAGAAAACGTTCCTAGATCATACTAGCCTTGTGAGTATGTTTACTTGCTTTACCAGCCTGAACATAGATGAGATTTCCTGTGGCAGCATCCTCTTGAGTTTGCTTTTCCTTTAATTTTTGCCAATATACAGCAAAGATGTGTGTATGCTACACACATGAAGTCCTGTAGGCTGACAGGTTTTGTATGCTGGCATTCACGGCTGAGATTCCGACTAGGCTTTGAATGTCTTTAGTTTATGATGTTAACAAGTGAACTGTCTCCTGTTTTCATCCTATTTCAACTTGTGGATTCTGCCAAGAGATCATCTGAACCAAGTAGTGTTTCTTAGCCCTTTAATTATTTAGTTGCCTTTTCAGAGATAGAGGCATGCTCTCGTTTGTACAGGTCACACAATTTGTACAGCTTCATAATCCACAGGGCTTTTGTTTGAGAGGATATTCATTTTATACAGTCCCTGTGTTGGTTGGATGCTTTATGAGACTGGGCAACCCCAGGCTTTCTGCACATTATGAAAACCAACTTTAGGAAACGAGATGTCTTCGTTAGGTATTATAATTCCATAGATGCTTATGCTTGCTACTATAAGCTGTTCTTCTTTTTGGACTATTAATCCAGCAGATATTTACCTGAGGAAAATTAAAATTGAGAGGTTAGTTTAAAAAAAAATCAATGTATACATGGAGAAAAGACTGTCTTACTCTCATCAAACAAGAGAAAATCAGAGCATCAGTTGCATAGTTGATAAAAATTACTGACCTGAACTTTGCTGTAAAATATGGGCTAAACTTCCAAGTCTGACTTGGGAAAAACTTAGCTCAGGGTAGACTCTGTTGCTCTTTATTGATCTTGTTTCTTTCCTTTCTGAGAAGTCAATCACACATTAATCTGCCTACCCATACATGCATGAGCATATCCACCTTCACAGGCAAACACCTGATACTGTCCAAGTGCAGGACTTGAGAGTTGAGGTTTTGAGCCACAGAGGACTACAAACAATGCAGGGGAAAGGAAAAAGGAAGGAGGGATTTAAAATATTTGCTATTGGGCACATATTTTAGGGACCTTGCCTTGGAAATGAGTCCCAGTAGTCAAAGAAGAGAGGCAGGACCTCACATGGACTTGGCACAGTTTCTGCTCTGAACTGCTGCCTGCTGTGATTACATCTGTATTTAAATTAATCTTCTAAAAACTTGTGTTCATCCATCATTTATCTTGTTAGCATTAAAATGGGATAAAGCATGCATTTGCTGGTTCATTTGGTCTGCTGAATTCTAAGATCTGTTGACCCAAGAGACAAGTACTTTGCTTAGGGGCTGAAAAAATTATTTTTGTTTATGGTCATACAAACTGCTGATGCTGCACGCTTCACTTCTTGCAGTGTTGCATGAAACAGGAATATAGAATTAGGAGTCATTTTTTTCTCAGCTATAGGACTTCAAGGGGTTAAGTGATTGGTCAGCAGCACTGCTCAGAGCATTAGTAACTCCAAGGATTATTACTTTCTGAACACTTGGAAATGTACAGGTTGCTTTAAGGTACTATAAGTAAACTGCTCTTGGTACCTCAGCCTCTTCACAGTTACCATTCACACCTTCTCTCTTTGGTGGAATTTCTGCAAAGTTCAGATTTCCACCAAGCCTCTCATAAATAGCTGTGAGTTTCTTCTTTTTGATTGTGGAGGCTGAAGCACCTGAAATGTTAAAGGAGAGAAAAAGGTTATCAGCTCCAAGCTATTGCGAAAAGTTAATACAATATCTAAAACAGGATTTCTGACTTAGCTAAAAGTCTGCTTTTTTAAGAGGAGATTAATCAAGCCTTTGTTTTGGATTATTATTATTATTATTATTATTATTATTATTATTATTAATACTACTACTCCCAGAAGTTTTGGACTCTACAGCTGTCACTGCCCTCAGCAAAACCTGCAAATAAGCAAGTTTCTTTGTATGCTTCCTCCTCCTTCGTTCCCTGAGAGCTCCAAATTGCCTGTTTTTTCATCCAGGCTGACAGAATTCAGTCAGGCAGGAGGCACCCACTGCATGCAGAATCTGACTCCTCAGCACTGAGATTGCTCCTGAGCTCGGGGTACAGGACATCTCTCATGTCATTTTGTACTAATTCCACATCTGAGGGTGACAAACCACTATTCTAGTGTTTGAGAGAGCATAAGTGATTAAAATTCAGATATTTTTTATGACTTACTGATGCACAGCTCTTAAAAGAGACAACTGAATTTATTTGATCTGAAAGAGTAACTCCTTTTTGCCCAATTTTCTCTAAGGTATTTACTGGGAAAAAAGCCTTAAATGTTGCCAGATCCAGTGTTTGGCCCTGCTGTTAACCCCTCACCCAGAAACAGGGTAAAAAAGGCACAGCTTTAAAATGCATGAAAAACTGACTTTAAGACAGCTTTAGCAGTTGAAATCAGTTTTTATACCTTTGTCTTTTAAATGACTAATCTCTATCTGTGGGTGTCCATTTAACCTGTGATACAACTTTAGAAACTGCTGGAGGCAATTTGTACTATAGGATCTGAAGTGATTAACATTGGGTACACATATGCATAGAGCATTTCAGTATTTGATGGGTTGCATCTCTTCATCTCTTGGCTTTGGATGCCTTTCTTTTTTTTTTTTGATGTCACATTCTCATCTGCAGGGCAATTTATAAGCACAAGCAAAGGTTACAGACTCCCTAATTCAAGCTTCAACTGTTATGGCATTTTTATACAAATGCTCATTTTCTTTGTCATACCATTTAGCAAAAAGGATCAATGTGCTCCATTATCCTGCAACTACTGCGTGAAAAAAGCGGTTCTATCAAAATTGTGTCCCCTGGTTGTATTTTTTTTTGTAAACTAATTATATATGTCAGACATAATGTTGCCCTCTGCTACTACATTCTGTTTCCAAATGTAATAAAGTTGGAGAAGTTTCAATGCATGAAAAAAAACAAAATATTTTTTCCATGGGCATTTGATGTCCATGGCTGGAGATTTGCTCCTGGCAGAGGAACAAGTCCTTCTGCTTGTACAATTCACATTTTAATTAAAACCAGGGCACATTTTAGAAAATATTTGGAATGTATATTATATCTATTGTATTTGAAGTGTTATTTTCTTGATGATTCATGTTATAAATTAATGCTGAACTAAGAGGATGGAATTGGAGGTCATTTCCTCAACATTCTCTTCAGGACCTTGGTTCTGCACTTACTGGAGGAAGAAAAGCACATGGGAGTACAGTGAAATATGCAGACCTGACATCCTAAGAATCGACTAAACACTTTTGAGTTTGCCTTGCCTGCAGTAGGAGTGTGTCACATGGTAATTTGGGAAGCTTGCTTGGAAATGGAAGAGTTATGAAACTGGGTTTGCCTCCTACAGGTGCACATCCCTGTGTGTGCATTTGCAGGTTTGCCATAGGGGAGAGGGCAAAAGCCCAAAATTGAAAGCAGGATGGCTAATTTTAAACTGCCTTGCTCTGCCATGAAGCATCAGCTGCTCAGCACTACAAAAAGTCCAACCTAAGGACTCCCACATCACTGGCTCCTCTGCAAAATGGGAGGATTGGAGAAGCTCTATCAGTATATGAGAAAAGTAGCCTTGTTGACTTTAAGTATTGTTTCTTCTTGTCAAAATGCAAGATGAGCTTTGAAAATTTTGAGTGGCAAGCACCCCCAAATTTAAGACAAGGCTTATCAAAGTGAAAAAATGGGTGCCTAAATTTTTTTCTTTTTTGTTCCTAGAATCTTGTGCCTAATTCATCATATTTTGTAAGAAACCGTTACTCCACTATTTTAAATGGCAGTGTTACCTTTTCAGGCTTTGACTGAACTGAATTTGTGTTGATTGTGGAAAATAGAATGGTTTGATGGTGAAAACATCCAAAAGGAATCAGCCAGTCAGCTGGCTCATGCACAAACACAGCAGTTATGCCCCAAGTGCCTAACTGTTAAAAAGTCATTCTCTGCCACAGGGAATACTGGACTGTAGAGTGACAATCCTGCTATTGAGCTGTGAGGTGCAGAGAGGGGCCAAGGTGATTTAGCTGCCTACTCACATAAATAATTAGGTATCTGTGCTTACATATGTACACAAACACACAGAACAGCTCCATGGTGCCAATACAAAACCCATGTGAATGAACAAAAAGTTGTGGTGAAATGTGAAGCAACATTGGGATGTTGACCTGCTGGAGAAATAGGAAAGGAAAGTAGAAATGAAAACTAGGAATCACAGAAATATCTGATCCAGTACGTAGATTTTTGACATGAGTGAGAAGGCTTGGAACTGGCTACCTCACCCAGAAATGTTTATGCAGTAATGAGAGGGGATTATAATTTGATGGAATTCTGCCAAAGGGTACTTTGTACCTATTGAAGTGTGGTTTCATTTGGCAGCTTCTCCTGACTTGAGAAGAACTTCCAAACTCTGCTGCTGTAAGTCGCAGTCAAAAATATGGCAATGTTAGAACACTTTGACCTTCAAAATAGAATTTGAGAGTATTAAATTACTGTACCTGTAACACAGTCGTGTCTGCAATAACAATTACAGGCAAAACGACAAGAGTCAGCATCCCCTTTCCCCTTCTTCATAGCAGTGGAAATAAAAGTTCATTTTAGTCAAGTTGTATTCCTTTTCCTTTCTTCCTAGAGCTGTCTGTAGTTGGTTCCTGCAGCAGCTGATGAGCAGAGCAGGACAGTTGGCTTGGGTCTTCTCATGGACTGGAATGCCAAATGTTCCTGCTTATTGTTCCCTCCCTCTGACAGGGGACACGCTGTTCAGTGAATCACCCTTATGGCCAG